GGACCATGGAGTCTTCTCCCACTTGGTCTCGGAGTCTCACACATGCCTTCTGGCAAACACTAGCCAAGATCTGATGAGATTTTTTCAGCAATGGCTTTTGTTGTGTCACTCTGGCATGAAACCCAGAGCTGTGAAGCACTCTGCAGCTGCTGTCATATGCAGTTACTTCCATCTCAGCTGTGCAAGACTGCAATTCCTTTGGAGCTGTCATAGGCCTCTTGGTAGCCTGGTGCCCTTCTGCTCCCAGTTTTCTAGAGGACGCACTGTTCTGCACAGATCCACATTCGTACAGTATTGTCTCCGGTTTTCATAATGGACTTTACAGTGCCTTAGGGATTATTCAATTTTGTTTTATGGCAATGATTTGATTTCCCCACATTATTTCTAATTTTCTCAAATTATTACATTTGGGATGTTGCAAACCAACAAGTGAACCAGTAATGTTAAGACACTTTCAATAGATGAAAAGAGTTCAATAGTTCTATCTACCTTGAAATAGCCGAGTTTGCTAAAAAAAAAGCCTGTTGGCCTTTTTTTTTATAAATGGTGTCACATTTATCCAATCATAGGTTTTGACCAGTCCCAAGTAGTAAGAAGAAGGGGTTCTGAGGAAATCCGCTTGGGCTGTCTTTCGGTGTCTTTGAGGAAGTTGAATACCTGCGTCAGGCCCCTGTCATCCCGTCTGTTCAAATATAAAAAGGTTCAGGTCCTGTGGCTGGTCCAGACTCTCACCACCCTCTGGGTAAAGAGCCTTCTGTTCTTTGTTTTAAATGCACTTCCATGTAGTTTCTACATGCCCTGTGGTTCTGTTTCACATTCACTCTGCAGAGCTCCTCCAGGTGACTTTGACAATGGCTGGGAGGGTTCTGAATATTCGGCTCAGGTCCATCGATTGCATTTATATAGTTCCCAGAGGTCTTCACACACGGGGGGGAGAGGAACTGCCCCACCAGGTGAATCAAGGGCATAGCTCGGAGGAAGCCCTATTGCTCAAGCTCAAGAGTGGGGCTGAGCCAGGACAGCAGGGTCAACAGCCCTATCCAACAAACAGGACCACTGGACCTCATCTCATCCAAAGGAAGGACAACCCACCGGATGCTATGAGGGGATGTGGAGTGGAATCCGTGGTTCAGAGGGCGCCACCTACTGGCCCACCAGCACCCCTTACAAAAAGCAGGAGGCTTGTAGAAGTTTTCCTATCCCAGGACAGCCCCTGTACATCTCCGCTCCTGACTGAATGACAACATCGGGTAAGCAGGAAGGCTGTCGCGCTCACAGGCTGCTAGGCCCAAGACCAACACAGCTCAGTTCTCCTACACCGTGAGCGCTGGCCATTCCTTTGCGCCCCCAAAACGAATCTGGGTGCGCTTTGCTCCAACCACCCCAGCTTGACCTGGTGTGAAGACAGACAGCGCCAGACCTCGAATGCACCACGTTATCAGGAGAACGTGATGCAAAGCCACATATTTACCAGAAAGCAATATTTCCGCGGCAGCGTTTCAGGCTAAGCACTGGCGACGCGCTGCAGGGTGGGACACGTTTCTTGCAGGCTCCATAAACTCCGTGCGTGGTTTCCCGCCGGGTTTAGACTCAATGGTGACGTTCCACCAGCTCGGCGCAGGGTTATGATCTGAGCCCAGCAAGGTATCCATCTTCGCAACTGCGCATTAATGCCGCTATTGTTAGCGGTGGGCAGATACGACCCGTCTCCGGCCGGGAACAAAGACGTGAGGCGCACCACTTCCTCCTCTGCAGCGAGGCCATCTGCTGCTCCAAGGTGACGTCTATCGCCCCGCCCCTCTGCTTCCATTCGCCAGGCGCACAAAAGTGTGCCATGGCAACCAGTACCAGCCCCCGTTTCCCGCGCAATATCCCCTTCCTTATAAGGCCATCAGAATGCAGACGCCACGAAACGTCAGGCGCGTATGCAAATAGGTTTGATTGAAGAAAATGGTGGCGTGGGAACGGAGCCTGCGCAGAGCGGAGCGATTTACTATTTCCCAGACGGAGCAAGTGAAGCGTCAACAAGCGAGCGCAGTTTGTGTTATTGTGTCGGATAGTTCAATGAATCCGAGTTGCGGCTGCCGTAATCACAACTGCATTTCGTTTTGGGTTCGAAGTCCACGCTCTCGGCAGGTAGGGCTTTCCGTTGTTTGGAGAGAGGAGAAAACGTGCTTTAGTGTCACAAGTTTCTTAGTTGCTACGTAAAGCTGGTAGATGAAGATCTTTTTTATTGAAGTAGCCTACTTTTTCTGTGGGCGCGTGGGTAATCGTTGTTGATGGGTTTTTTTTCCCCCTGATTGCTTGTTTTAAATATTTTTGAGGACTCCCTCGTCCTCCTAGGGTGAGAAAAGCAAACTTCCTTCAAAGTTTCTTGTATATTTCAAGAGCGCACGTAACTACGACACGGTACTGTAAAGCGTGCAGCTCCACTACTGTCAAGCGAAGTCTATGTCGATAGCTGACTTCAGCCTTATTTACCTGCCACTGATCGACCGAACATTTGCTTGTTTTGACCTCGTAACCTATATATTCTCCTCCTGCTGACCCGCTGCAACAGAGACGGGTCGTAGCTGCTGAATTGTCCTAATACAGGCTTATCTGCGACATGTGTTTAACGTGGTTTGAATGTTTTCGTATTTCACCAGCATGGGACAGGCTAATGTAGTAAGCGTTTCAGATGGACTCGACTACCGCTGCGGTGAAGATCATTAAATAACCCCACGCAGGTGCCGCCTAAAAAGCTGTAAACGTTAAATC